ACTGGACCTTTTGAAGCAAGGTGTGCACAAACATGCCAAGTCCTGCAGCCTTTCCACACCGGGAGCCTTCCTCCAGATGTTTCTTGTATGCTCCTGACTTGCTGCCTTGGTTTTTTTTGCTCTTTTTGAAGTGGTGTCCCATTTCCTGTGCACAAAGACCATTCCTTGTTGTATTTTGGAGCCCAATTAAAAATATAATGATTTCTGCTTAAAATCGAGCTCTGCTCCTGGCTGGCTTCAGCTCCTTTATTCTTATGGGGCCTTTTGGGCCAGAACTTGCTGTTTCACAGAGCAGACCAGCATTTGTCCTGAAAATGTAGCTGTGCAGCCTGATGCTTAGTCAATCAAAGCAAACGATGTCACACTAAAAAGTGAGCTATAGTGTTGGCTTGCAGGGAAAAGCCTGCAGCTCTTCACACCAGGACACAGCCACCTGCACGGTCTGTGGCTGTTCCCCACTCCCTGAGCAGTGATGGCCAGCATGGTCTTCCCAGGGCGGTCCCCAGCCCATCCCACCCCGAGAAGTTCAGCCAAACCATTCCCGGCCCATTAATCAACCCGAGAGCAGTGCACAGACCCCCCTTTTGTTCTGGCCCTCCTGGCAGATGTGCACGCTGCCGTGCGTTATCAAAGCGTGGCTGTAAACCCCAGCCGACAAGTGATTTGCAGCGGAAACGGGTTTGGCTCTGGGTCTAATTCGTTCCCGGGAATGGGCTTCTGACCCTGCTGAAGTCCCTGGGAACGCCGCCAAGCTCTTCAAAGAGGGCAGGCCTCGCTTTGTAAACTCACCTCTGGGGCTTGGCTTGCAAGCACCTATAGAGGTGTCGGTCATTCAAGAAAAATGATGGAGGGGAAGAGTGCTCAAAGTCCAAAAGGTGATGCTGCACAAAGTACGTAGCTGTGCAAACACTGCTTCGGAAACTGCATGAATAAGTTCATTAAGTGCAGCCCTGCCCTCGGCTGCAGCATTGAGGCAATGGCTAGGAAACTGGATCAGCCTTGTGTCAACTATCATAAAAGGGTGACAAAATTAATGGCGTACAACAGGAAAGGATTGCAGGCTTGCATGTGCTTCTTAAATATCACTTTCAACTGCCACGGCCTTTACTGATTTCCCTGTGGTGCTGGGCTCTGGCCAGACTATAACAAACTGTGGTGCTTTTCCTGGGAGGAAGGAGAGGGCTGGGGGGAAGAAGATGGGAAATATCCAGTGGTTACAGGGGACAACAAAAAAGATAAGGGGGAGCAATATTAATGCAAAACGGGAGTGGTGAGGTGCCCGAAGGAAAGGATGTAGGAAGGGCTGATGGTGGTGGTGCAGAGCCAGCCAGATGTGGGACCTCAAATGAAGCTAGTGGGCTTGGCCAGATCCTGGCTGGACCTCTTGGGGCAACCAGGGTCTAGGGCCCAAGTCAGATGCCCATGGGGTGCGTGTGGGAGATGGCAGTGGCCTGTCTCAGCTGGGGCTCAGACCCCTCTGTGCCAGGTGGAGATGGTGCCTGGGCCCAGGACCACAGGGATGTGGTTTTGGGAGCATCGTGTAGCCGAGAGTGGACCTGAGATGCGACAGGGAGCGCTCAGAGTGGCAAGATGGGGGCGCATCAGGTCCCAGTGGCCCCATCCTCACCTCTGCAGGAGGGCAGAACGGGGGTCCCCTCACGGGACGGCTGCCGTCCCCCCGCCCGCGTCGGCAGCTGAGATGGGGACCCCCAGGGACGCACCCCCCTCCCCACACCCAGCCCGCCCGCCGAGGCGGGGGCAGCATCCAGCATCCTCCCCTTCGCTCCCGGGGGACCCCCCGCCCCGACCCCCTTCCTCCCGCAGCCCAGCGCC